TACATTGTACATCGCTATAAAGAATGATGTACAGTATCATGCGAGGAAAATTATAAGTCGATCGATTTCAGCCTTGATTACAACCTTCGTTTTAAATACTCCTGTATATTTAGAAGGATAACCTTTACGTTAAAATTGATTCACAGCATCTGAAGAGTGTTCATGGTAGCCTAGTGCGCTTCTTTCAACATTAATTATTTATATTTAAACGAAGGAAATTTACAGACACAAGTGACTGACAAGGAAGCATCCTGAAGAGATAATCACCGACTTTGATGAAATTCTAGCGAATTTCCGAGATTATAGTACACTAACGCTCGAAACTTTGGAGCATGTTATGATTTCAAAACAAATAAAGCTTCCCTAAGTGAACGAACGTTTCATTTACATTAAATTTGTTTTACTTAATTGCGATTGAAAGTAACAGTTACGATTATTTAATTAGAAATTAAATTCATAAGAAATTATTGCCAAGGAAATAATAGTAAAGAGATTTAGAAAATTAGAAATAAATTATTTGATTAGAAAAATAATACAAATTTAGTAAAGTGCTTTTTCGCAAAAGAATTCTCTTCTTTTTCGATACGACTGCTTCACATAATTTCGTCATTTTGCCATAATAACAATAACAATTTTGTCATTTCGACATAATTCATTTATCAATTGTTTTCAGTTTAATATTGCTCCAAGCTTCTTATAAATATTTCCACAGATACATTTCAGATGTTTTGCATTTTTTTAATATTTCTCTCTAATTCGTCTCGTAAGAGCTCAATTTAATTATAATTTCAATTTCAATGTAGCATCATACTTGTACAATGCTATTTTAACGCATAAGTACAATATTTCTAATAAAACTACTGCGTACGTCCGAATGAAAAAGTTTTTGTCCAAATAACGAATAGCACTCGAAACTTTTAAACGGCAGCGCATGCTTACAACCTGCGAATTTTACGGCGATTCTCACCCCTTCAATGTGGACGGTTGTCGATAAAAAAAAAAATACGTGTCGAATATTTTCTCCGTATCTATCACACACCAAAATTTCATAAAAATCGTTAATTACCACTTTGAGATGTTCCAAGTGTGACAGATTTTCTTGGCTGACCAAAGCTTCTAACGCGATAAATTATGCGATTTTATTACTTTACATTAAGTTGAGTCAAATTTTTATACGACCCATGACAAAGTTCTTTTTAACCCTTTCGCTGCGGCAGATTTTGAAAAAATAAAGATCGTTACAATTTTCTGAACGAAACCATACATTATTTATATGCCAATCGACGCATACTTGAATTCTCTTGAAAAAAGTATTAGAGGACTCTGGTCGAAAATTGATTAGTTTAGAAGTTATGACTTTTGTCCCGAACGCCCATATACGGCGAAACACTAATACACTACCGGCCAAATATTTGGAATCACCGAGCATTGCAATTTACACAAAAATTTCCAGAAAAGAGTCAGCGACATTGAAAATATTTTGTCGTTCGAATCAATTGATATGAGATAAATTGATAAATGTAGAATTGAGATAAACTTGAAATCTATAAAAAATTAGAAAAGTGGGAGGTGATTCGAAACTTTTGGCCGATAGTGCATGTATCTATAATGCACGAATGAATTTTTATTTCCTTTTGTTGTCACAAAGTTACACCGACAAAAATATATATCTAGTTCAATTGAAGTAAATGTTAATGACCCTAAAATTTTAGTAAACATGTGCTCAAGAAGAAAATTGCTTGTTACCACACTTGCTCCAAAATTTGGGAATCGCTGTTCATTGCAGTTACACAAAAATTTCCAAAATGAAGACAGCAAATTTAAGGACTTTTTAACATTCAAATCAACCGATATGAGGTAAATTGCTATTTACCTCCACAACGTTAATTTTACATCTATGAAGGATTAGTAGCAGATTCGATATTGACGAAAATAGCCGCAATTCGTAGCCGCGAAATATTTTGTTTTGGCTCTGTCGTTTTAGAACTGATTTCATTAAATTAACACTTCCGAACAAGTCGAAAAGTTGATGCATTTTCGCGTCAAATCGAAAACCTGACGCATTTGTGTGCCAAAGTGTAAAGAAACTGTTACAAGCTGTTTTCTTCAAAATTTCTGAAACTATCGACTTCACTTTCATATTTTAAATCAAACAGGAGATGAGAACAGTGATTACCCTTTCATTTCTATTCAATTAAAGAAAAAAATACTAGGGGTCCTTTTTATTTTTCGTATTGAATGTAAAGTTTCAGCATAGCACCCTGGTACTGTGCGAAAATTTTCAATCTAGCGACCAGAACGCAAAAGTGTTGAGGTAGAAATACTTGGAAGATAAAATTAAGGATTAAATTAGGCTAGCAGTGCACCGAAAGGCGCGAACTATACCCTGTGAGTGAATTTTCAAAGCAACGAAAGGGTTAAAATGTTTCCATTACTGCATGAACGCTGTAATTCTTTACGTAAGTTTCAAATGCTTTATCAGAACAGCGCTATCGTTGACATAATACATATTATTATCGCATCATTGCTGTTACTTTTGCCGTGCACTAGTATTAAACTTGAAACATCATGCTTGAATTGAGCGAAGCTTGAAAGCTCATGTCAAAGCAAAGGGTGGTTAATTACGCCAAGGAAAAAATGCTGCTACAGATAAAAACTTTTCCTACGCAGTGAACACTTTGTTATTTATGTCCAGAGTCATCTTAATAACGAGGGAACTTGGTAGAGTAATGGCTTGAACAATAGTTTCATTTAAGAGAAATTAATAAATCTCTTATTCAACAGAAGTATTATTAATTTTACGTTTCAACGAGTCACCATTTTATAATAATTTAAATCCTTCTGAAAATATATATTAAAGCACAGAATTTAAAATCCCCAAAAATTGATGACCAATTTCAGCTTTCTAAAGAAATTTTTAACATTGAAAGAAATTTTTCCGAGTGTAAATTAGGTTTCATTTGCGTTCTTCTTTCTCTTAGAGATTTGGATTTTTACATACGCGGAATTAATGCTCCTGTAATACCTTGGCGAAAGTATATCAAACATGGAAATTATTTGAAGTAAAAATGTTTCGTTTCAATGAAACTGTTATAACGGTTAAAATCATAAATATAGGCAAAGTTTATGATTTTTTTTTAAATAGAAAAAAATATTGTATAACTTCAATCTTTTCACAGTGTGTTTATGAACTTTTATATTTTATGCGTACAAAATTTGGTTTAAAAAGAATCAGTACATTTGAAGTTATGGCAGTTTTGATAGAATCCCTGAAAAATGACCGTGACCATGATTGAGATCCACATGAAATGAAAAATGAAACTACCTTTATATTCAAAAATGTTTTCTTTGTCGTTCATACTAGAATCATGAAAATTTATGAATTATTTCTAATATTTTTGTTAGATTGAAATCTAAAAAAGTAGTAAAAAATGCAACTTTTGCATTTACCGCGTTGCCATATTTGTTTACGCCATTGGATATCAATGATTTTAGTACGGACGATAAAGAAAACGTTTCTGAATATAAAGGTAATTTAATTTTTCATTTCGTGTGCACCTGAACGGTCGGAATCATGCTCACCGTCATTTCTCAGGCATTCCGAACCAAATTTAGTATACTTAAAATGTAAAAGTTCATAAACGCACTGTAAAAAGATTGAAGTCACACACCGTCTTTTTCTATTAAAAAAAAAATCACAAAGATTGCCTATATTCGCGGCCAAGAAAAGCGAATATTCCTCTATGAAATACTTGATCTCAAAATTAACTTTAAAAAATTATTATTTAATTATTATTAAGCAATTTTCTACTTTATTGAACCGACACATTTGTACCGACAATTTCTTACAACCACGAATTGTCAATTATTGCTTGTAAATACTGACTATTATTCGCTTATTAACTGACTGATATTAATTAATTGCTTTGAATTATTAACCTGCACACACCTTTTACTTCGTAATTATTAGACTGCGGATTTTTATACATATATAGGAAATTTAAAGGTACAAAATTGCACAGAATGCACGTAACATGAACAAATACACAAAATATCCAAATTATAGTGCTCTTTATAATACCTGGTAGGTGAAATAATTTTTCACCAAAGTTCTACTTTTTTTGCTATATTCTCAAAAATATAAATTTGCATAAAAATCCGCAGTCCAGTAATTATCAATTCTCAGCAACGTTTAGTAGCCATCGATTATCAAATACTAGATGCCAATTGCTAATTTTTCGATGTCGATTAAAACTATCTATTACTAATCACTGAAACATTGTTTTTGTTTATTATAAACAATTTTTGCTAATAAATCATTCCTAAATATTTCTCTCTACTGCACATAGGATACTATATGCATTACAGTGAGCCACAAAAGTATTTACTTCCGGTGCACCACATTGCTACTTTTCCACAACTTTTACATAAACCAAAATCTTAAACCTTTTAAGCTTCGATTACATATTTCGAGATAAACAAAATATTCGGTTATTGTTCCGAACGCTGAATTTCAGGATGCACGTAACCCGAAAAAATGTACAAAATACCCAAATTACAGTCCTTTTTGTAATATCGGATGACTGCAAAAGTTCGTGGCCGAATTTCAGAGATGGCGGGAACCTTATCGCACTTCAGTACAAATGTTTGTTTTAGCGTTATGTTACATTCCTATCCAAAGATACACCGCTTGTGCTTTATTCTCAAATAATTACTCATTTCATTTCATTTTATTTCCAAACGAAATGCGCCTTTGCACACACCTTCTTGTGTTTCATTTTCGAATCGGGCACGAACTTTTGCAATCATCTAATACCTAGTAAGTAGGTGAAATAATTTTCCACCGAAATTCTACATTCTTCACCATATTCTCAAAAATACAAATTTGCCTAAAAATCCGCATTCCACTTCCCGTTTGTAAATCTGTAAACTGCCTTGTTAAAAAGAAAAAAAAAAAAAAAAGAAGGCAAGAGGAAGATGTTCATAGTTCAGTAACTTACCGAAACACTTGGTCTGTATCCTTTTATACATCTCGCCGCTGCTCTTTCGATGCACCATCCTGTGTGTCGCCGCCTGGTACTTCTTCCTAAAGTTTCTCTCGCTCTCCGTCGACTCCTGAGAGCTTCTCCTCTCTTTAGCGACACTTTCCGGGACCTCGTAGTCGCCGTCCCTGCTATCTGGCCTCTTCCACACATGGCTCTCCTCGAGGTCGCCGATGTAAATCCACTCGCTGCTCGTATACGGCTCCACATAGTTGTCCTCGTCCTCCCGACCTGATATTAGACGTAAGAACAACGACTTTAGCCCGACAGCTACGGATGAAATAAGTTTTAGACGTGAACGTTATCTTTGATACTATCCCACATAGCTAGCTGACTTTCTGCAAAATGCAGACGTCGAGGATAATCTTCGGGGGTGATATACTTCGGGGGAAATTATGCAAATAAATCGTGCTTTCGCCAGTATTAACAGGTTAAAGTGTCGGACCCGCTTTCACACTTTGCGGTCCTACGTTTGACTCGACGTAAGAATTTTTCCCTTCAGATATCGTGCAGTGATGAATTATAAATTATTTAACCACGATAAACCATTTTTTAATGTATTGACACGAATAAACGAATAACGAATAAACAAACGAGGCAGGTGTATTAAGAAAATTGAAAATACTTCGTCTTCTTAATTCGCACTGAAATTTATCGAATCTCAACATACAGGGAAACAACTAATCGCCTTTAAAGAAGACAAACGATGTTGGAGCATCAAGGTGAATATTTTTAATTAATGAACGCCATTGTTCTCACTGAACTGTCTTTTTTTTTCAAATCGTCTTTCATTGTGCAACTTTTCGCAAAATCGGTATCTATTATACATATCTGCTTTTATTATACTCGTTACACCGTACTTTCTTCGCCCACTTTTCCATACATGTATTACACTTCCTGGCAGATACGGGGGCAGTTAATGAAGTTTGCGCATCAGAATTTTTGAAACATCCTCTTTTACGACATGTTGCAGGAAACTTCTTAATAAAGTGTCCTTTTTACGCGGGAAATTAGAGGGAAGCTTTGGTTGTAAAATCTTCAAGATATCGGTAAATGTAGTACTTCATCATTTCGCGGATATTGGTATAGGTGATTTAATAACAAATTTCACATATTACAGTAACTTCATAATATTGAAATAGCTACTGTACTTTTAAGATATAAGAAAATTTTGTTAGTTTATTTCAAATAAATTTTAATGTGTTACGTACGCGGACTAGCCGACACGGCGGCGCCGAGACATCCGCCTAGAGCTCACCCCCTTGAGATAAAGTAAACGAACGCGCTTCGGTCTCATGGGAAAATTAGGACCCCCACTACCCAAAAAATACAGATTTTTGGGTATATAAGGGCATGATTTCCGATGCTCTGGGGCAGTCACAGTTCAGAGTTACCCTGAACCTTAAAGTAGAGCAGTATCTGTATAGTCGCCGTTTGACACGAGCAAGATCGGGCTCAATTCCCTTTCAAGCAACCAAGTATAATACTAAACTCGTAAGTGTAATGTCGAGAAGGAAGATTCTTGCTCAGCCAAGAATCAACCATTATAATTTATATTTAAACCATTGTAAACTCCTTGAATATTATTAGAATATAGTTACTATAGAATTGCTTCAGCCTATATTCAATTGACCATCTCCTTGTAACATTAGTAACGAAACAGTTAAACTCACAAAGGATATATCTTTACCGCTCGAGGTATATCCGACATTACGATACATACTGTCCTCACAACCGCCAAACCTTTCCATCCTTCGGAGAACGGCGTATTAACCACATACGCCGAAGGTTCCAATCCTGTCGGATTTGTTGTCCAACCACGTATCACCCTCATACGGTGAACATTTTGACCGATCCACAAACCCAAACCAATATTACGCTCCGTATGAGGACACAACAAGCCTAACCCGTAACAAATGTTACTGTACATACATATATGAATTATGTATTAATTTTAGCAATTTCAGCGACTACTATAAATTAAATTCTTAATACAGGGTAGCATAACTTGCGAAGTTTGAACTGCATAACTGCAAAAACTGCATAATTTCAAGAGGCAAATTACATAGTATGAGGAAAAGTTTTGAAAAACGAGGTAAAGTATCTCGTTCATTATTAGATTTACAATTAGTGCTAGTTGTTAACGCTCGTGGTCGGATCTCAATGAGATACGACCACTCTTACGTATAAGAGACTATGTGAATTATATTATTCTTCGCCTGGTGTTCCCTTTACTATTGACTATTCTGAACTATTCTAAGACACGTTTACGCGTGGTTTTTAAGGTATCGGTGATGGCACTGATTGGTTGACAGGGGAATGGAAGTGGAAAACGGGGTGACAAAAATGCGAATATTCAATTGGTGGATGGAATTTGTGGATAGGTAGCGGGAAGGATTCGGAGCGGGGGTGATGAGCGACTTCTCACCCCTACGGGGAAAGGCCCAAGGTGACGTCAGCGCGGTACCGTTGATCGGGTCACCGTGGCCGTCCGACTCTTGGGTTCCCTAAAGTTTATGACACGGTAATTGCTATTGAGGGAGACAGAAAATTAATTTAGCTAATGCTAAGGTCACGTACCCGCTATTCAGGTACGGGTAAAACTTTGCCTTTTCAAAAATAGCGTCTATAGGCGACCGTATCATAAACTAGTTCTAACGAAGCCTTAACACTAGTAAAGTTAATACAGTTTTATTCACAAGTCAACATTCTTTCGAATCGTGATATAAAATACCATACTCCATTAAAAGAGACGAAATTATTGTTTAAAGGGGTGCACCACTGTTCAATTGTCCTTGTCCGGTCGCGCAGCCCACCGGCCAGTCACATATCATAAATTAATAAACAGTCCTTCCAGCCGTCTTCCTAGCCCCTAACAAATTCCTTCCCTATCGTAAAATAGTTCAAGTCACACCCTGGTCATGTTTCCTATCCCTTTCCCCTTTCCGGGTTTTCCCCAAATTATTTAAACTTTAGGCAACCACCTTCACCCTCACGTTCTCCTTCCACTAGTTTCCTAATATCCAATCACACCTCCGCATTTTTCGAGACCTTCTTTTCCACCACCTTCAACGTCCAACCAATCAGAACATACACCGCGAGGACAAGACAAACCAAAAGACACATCCCAAGTATCATTCCTTACCTCCGGAAACGATCGTAAGGAAATCACTGTACGATACGCGGTGTCGAAACATCGAAGTGAAGAGTTACGACCTTCACTAACGCGCAAATTCGTGCAAAAACAACCGCTCTGAAGCGTCTAAAAGTAGGTAAAATTTGGGAAATTTTTTCATAGGTAATTACTTAATGAAAAGTTTCAATTTCTTTTCAGCTTTCTTCTTCAATTTTCAGAAAGTGAAAATGTTACAAAATGGAGGCGTTCATCTTTGATTTCAACAGTATTTGTTGATGATAGGAAAATTTTGCTTAACATTGCTCCTCTTTTATAATTTTATTCATAAAGATTGAATTATTAACTGTCAAACATTTCTTTCGCAGAATGATTTGCAGGAGTACTCAATTTTGAATTGAAACTGAACAGTATTATATTCACTCTTACGTTCCAAATTCATTAACAAACTTTTTTCGAAATTAACAGGAAAAATATAATTGTAAATTTTGTTCTACTTTATGAAAATTATTAATGTTTATTAGGCATTGAGCCCAAATTAAATGAAATTTCAGCCCTAATGATATATTTATTAACAAAGGAAAAAGAATTTTTGACTTGATTTTGGATCAAATTGTCCCAATTTCAATGCAAGTATTTATTTTTTTAATATTTCTTTTATGTCAATATTTTCATTTTCTAAAGAAATGAAAGACAAATTGTAAAATTCGACTAAAAGCACTATCTGAAGATACTTCGCCTAGTTTGAACGAGTTTCACGTTGTCAGCTAACACCTTTGACATCTTTCCCATTGAGTTTACAGAACAATATATCGTAGATATCCTAACCCTAAATTCCTAATGCTCCCATGTACAATTCTAGATCCTCCTGTCTCAAGAGATTCCCGGATGGCCTACTATTTCTCTCACCACCAATAATCCACTGCATCAACGGATCAACTTTAGATACACGTGGCAGAGTCAAAAAGTTAGTTGCATTCGTCTAGAACTTTTTATCTATCAGAGATATCTTGATGAAAGTCGGTGGAAACACTGGTTACGCTTCCTTTCTCAAGTTATATTAGGTCATTCTGAAAGTTCCCGCAGTTCTAAGCCGTTCGTTTCGAGGAAACGTAAAATTCGTTAAAATTAAACTTGAATTTAATTTAAAATTAAATTTGAATGTAATTTTGAAACTGAAAACTTCGAAAAAAAATTACTGCTAAAATTTCTACTGTAATCATTTTAGCTCCCTGCTTTATAGCAACGAGTCAGATTCGTGGCACAGATTCTGGTCAAGATGCGACAAAAATTATACTATATTAGTAACAAAAGTTAATGTTAATTCCAACTTTCGTTTCAACTGATAAGACTGACTTACCAAATGTAATTAATCTTTTCAAATTTAACTTGAAACAGTAAATGAGCTACTCGGAAGCCAAAGTAACTAACTCCATGAAATAAAGTTTATTAAAGTTATTTTATTTAGGAAAAATTAAGCACCAAGCATTTGCTTTGATACTAAAATTGAAAGAATATGAAAAAGTGAAGTTAATCATTTTGGCTTCTGAGGCAAAATTTTGGCAAAAAAGTATCATACGTCAAGGAGTTAAGTGTCTCTTTGAACCATATTAACACTAACAACTGAATTATTTCAGGTGATCAGAATTCTTGAGTCACCCTGTATATCGTTAGCGTTCAACACTCAGGTCGATAAGACTGTTTATGTAGAATAGGCGCCGTTGCTCGGCACGTGGCAAACAGTCCACGTGGATTTCAGTATGAACGTATGAATGCGTGCACAAGGGATGATCGAACTACAAAGGAGTGCAAAAAGAGCGAGCGCTGATTTGACTGTGTCGGTGATTATGAAACTAGCCCAAGACGTATATTTCTTGTTTCGAGATATTTAGAATTTTCCCCTTTGGTGTATTAAAAAATACTCTTTCATTACGTAATACAGTATTTCACGAGATACTTGCTCTAATAATATAAGAGCTTTTTCTATGAAAAGATCGACGCAGCACAAAATAAGTGATAAATTCCTTTTGAAGGCACATATACACGTGTACCTATTGCTCATCCAGGTAAAAGAAATACTGCGAAATATAATGCACATTTAAACTGGCAATTTAAAAATTACTTCATTCATACCTGTGAACAAAACTGACGTCGAGTCGCACTCGACGAAGGAGTCCAAAGGGTTAACCATGGAGCGGTAGACAAAGTGTTAAAAAATCCACATACTAACCGGTAAGAATTTCCAAACTGACGTCCGTGCTCCTCGCGTGAAGCCTCTTCCTGCCAGCGGCGGTGTCGTCGATGGATCCTCTGCTTCCGCGTCTGGAGGCCACCCTTTCCTCCGATTTCGCACGGACGTCCGATCTGCCAGCGCTGCTACGACGATGTCGCCTGTCACCGCGATCCTCCGATCGATACCTCTTGTCGAACTTCTTGTACAGACGGTGGCCAGGCACGTGCTTCGACGAGGAGGACCTGTGTCCCTCTGGGGAGTCCGCGAAACCTGCCGGTGGTCGAACGATCTCTTCCGAGACCTCGGGGTGGAGCAACACGACGGCACGCACGATAGAGAAAAGAGGTAGATAGACCGACAGATAGAGAGACAGGTCGATTCGAGATCACTTTTTTGGTTTTTTTTTTTTCTTTTTTTTGGTGACAAAGTTAGCACCGACATCTTGGCTAGGTTTGGTCGAGTGTACTTTGCTGAGTTTTTAAGGGCACTTTTGCGTAATTTCGACGACCAGCGTGTAAGTTCTAAGTTGGTGGTTAGAAAGAATTTTGAAAATGTCTAATCAGATGAGTTTGCAGGTTTCTGAGTTTGAATGTTTAGAGACAAGTAGTTTTGATACTAATGGCATTTAAATTTTCAATTTGCTGCTTTTTCCAGGTTTCTGAGGAATTTGAATTTTTCTGGGGTGAATTGGCTGTAAATATCTTTGCGCAAATTTTGTTTTTTTTAATCGTTATGTAATATAGGGTGGGCCACGTCAAACGAACCACCTAATTATCTTCTCTAGCTACAGTGGCACGAGAAAATTTTTATACGTAATTTAAATGGTTTCAAAGGGCGAATAAAATGGAAGACAAATTTTTTTCTGTATTTTTTACATTAATGTACATATTTTTTTCTATTGTATGTTGTAGCAGACATTGATATGCACTTAAACGTGCAAAATAATATGACGTATAAAATGACGTAGGACTTTAAAATTGTAAATCAAACGTGAAACCTCCTTTCATTCTGCCATTTCTTTCATAAAAAAATTTTTTTCAATTTTATCCAGTTTTTGAAACCATTTTTACGCACAAAAATTTCCTCATGCCACTATAGCTACACGAGATAATTAGGTCCACTCTGTATAACATATTGATCAAAATTCCGGAAATATTTCCAAAGATATTTACAGTAGAAATACCGATACAATTTTTGCTTGGCAAAATTATTTGCAAAACAGCCAGAAAGGAGGAGCAAATACTATGTTGTATCAAACATAGTTACTTTTCTACAGTTTAAGTCACAGTTTCAGTTCACTGACTTGTCTTTAAAATAAACAAAAACTACTTTTCAAATTAGCACTTCCTAATTTTCCAACGAAATACAGCAAGTTTAAGTAAGCAATATTGCAAAGCAAACTATACCTTCTCTCGTCCTTATTGTTCCTAAATATGCAGCAAGATTATTCACCGAAGATTAGAAAGCACTTATCTAACACGCTTCCTCCGATCCCCGCTAATTTCCAAGCTGGCATCAAAGGGGTGAATTTTAAAGCGCAACGTTATCCATTAATTTCACGTTTCAACACGTAAAAAGTATCACACAATCTCGCCAACTTTCCGCTGTTCTACGTCCCTTAAAAATTCATCAGAACTACCCTCTATAAGATCCTCTGTGAATATTTCACCGGACAGAATCAGCTAATTAATCACGGGAGCAAGTAGGAAGAAAGGAAGAAATTCAAGACTGAAGCAACTAACTACACTATAAACTACAGATTTCACTTATAGCAATTCTCTACTCTACCTACTATCTTCGAATCAACAAAATACAAAGAAGAAGGAAGACTTCTTTTCTGACCCTCTGTAAGAGTCTAATACCAAGTTCATCGAAAATTACTCGGTTTCCTATCGAAGCAGCAACTTGACAAACGGTAAATAATTTACCTCTCTGCCGCAGTGGTGACAATGAGGGACATCGAGAGCGCTGATGGTCAAATAGTGGTCCGCGCCCTCGCTATAGAAGACACTGTCGCTTCCTGGACTGACGGACCTCAACGATTCCGCTGAAAGAGCCTTTAATCTCGCCTCCGGGCTCTGTGACTCGACGATCATCGCCCGTTGTCCGTTGTGCCCTGGACTACGTTGATAACGGCCCGGGCTCAGCCTCGAATGCATTATAATGTCATCCGCTGCGCGAGATCTTCTTCGTGGTAGACTGCCTGTTATGGCAGCGTTCTTGTCCTAAATTGCAACAGGACGACGGTGCTTTGTATCGTGTCGGTATGAAGGATACTTGCTCTCGCCGTTCGACTGATTAATTTTGCGAAAAGTGTACAGGGTGTGAGAAAAGAGTAAGTGACTGGATTAGCATAGCGTGATTTTTGCATCTTTGGATCGGTGGAGATTCGTTGAGAAGGGTTGCTGAAAAATTGTGCTTTACCTTGAAAATTAAGGTCGAAAGGTTAGGTTTTGTATGGGTGCTGACGAAAGTAGTCGAACGGGTATGCACAGTTTAGACTCAATATTTCGAATTGGTGGAGATTCATCGAAAATTAAGGTCAAAGATCAAATTTTGTATGGGAGCTGACGAAAGTATTCGAACGCTTGTACACAATTTGGACTCAATATTCGAATCGGTGGAGATTCATTGAAAATCGAGGTCAAAAGGTCAAATTTTGTATGGGTGCTGAGGAAAGTATTTGAACACTTACGACCCAAATTGTTAAGAAATAAAATGACCTAAATGTAACTAAAGTGAGGTGACAATCTTGGGAATGTGTGAGCAAAATTAGAAAAAAGTTGAGTAATGTATACAGAATTGGTGGAATTACATTTGTATTACTTTGCATTAATGTTTGGTTTTGGACTATCTTTGGTGTTAATTACACGTCTGAGTCGTTCCATGATGTGTACCAGTGTTTCTGATACATTTTTTTCTATGGAATTCCATATTTCTGTTGTTTTATTTTTTAACACCTCTTTGGATGCTGTTTCATATTTTCCAAGTTTTTCCTCAATTTTGGGCCACAAGTGTTCTATAAGATTAATATCAGTACTTTGGGAAGGAGTCTGTAACGTGCGAGAAAATGTCTGTAATCTTCAAATTTCTCAACGAATCAAAACACGATTTAATGCCACATCCAACTTATTCCTGTAACCACAAGGTGGAATCACCTTCTACAAATTTTTCCTTCACACAACTCCCTTATCCCCATCATCCAACTCACTATAGATAACACCACTTCGACCCAATGCTAATTGCTAAATTAGCCATCGCCAAAAAGTGCAACAACAAATCAAATCAAAGTTAAAAAAAAAAAAGCAAACCTCAATTCTTGAAAACAGTAATCACCAACCGAACATCTACCATTTAACAAACTCTCGTAAAGCAATCGTGTGTCACCCCTGAAACCCAACACAAGTGACGACCCACGTACATTTTCTTTCATAGCAATCTCTCTTCTACATCCACTCACCTCGTTACTCCTCCTCCTAGCGGAAACGTAACCAATGGTCTTCCTCCTCGGGCTCTCCCTCGTTCTCCGGTGTCTCCCATCTGCGCCCTCGCGATGCACATGATGATGATGGTGATGATGCATGTGATAGTGGTGACTGCAACTGGAATCATCTGACGTTGGTACATGGCCACCATCCTCAGTTTGCTCCACTCGCCAATCCTCTTTCTGAGGGCTTCTACTAGGTTGTTGTTGCGGCTGTTGCTGTTGTTGTTGCTGCTGCTGCTGCTGTTGACCTTGTGTCGATTGTTGAGCAGCTTCGCGCTTTCTGTTATTTTTGTGGGGACTTTTGGCGCTCGTCGATTTTCCTCGCTGTCGGTAACGATGACTCGGCGTTGGACTGATCTCGGCAGTGTCTCCGTACAGTTCTGTGCTACGTTCGATGTCTGTTGTGCTTCCGAGGAAATCCAGGGTGAAGGTCTTCCTTCGTCTTTTTTTTCAGCCGTGCAGATCTGGAGGAGACTCGGCGTAGCCGCCGGAAGAGGAGCGGTGACCTTCCTGGAAGCGGACGGAGAAGGAAGGATACGTAACTCTGAGGAAATTGTACAATGGTATTGTGGCGGGTACGTCGTTGCCAACAAGCCCTTACCGGACCTCGTTCTATTCTTCCACGCGAACCTTCTCTTTTCCAACTCCTTCAGATTTTAGTTTCCGTTCTTTTGTCTCTCCCCGGGTTAAGACTTGCCTTCGTCCTCGAGTAGCCTAAGAAGCGCACATGTGGCATCCAGGTTCGCACGAGGACGAACGGCCCCGCTTTTTCACAAATTTTCCGTTTCCACCACTTTCTACACTTCTATCTTTATCTATCTCTACTCCTGTCTCCCTGTCCTAACAATATAAAAACCCAGCACGCCTACACCTCCGGTCAGTTTTTCCTTTACCAGCCATCGAAACGTACCCGCCGGGATGATTAGCGAACAAAACAGTTGTATTATTCCGAGCGAACTGTACGCCGACCGTCGCATTTAGATTTTAATAAATTGAGGTGAAACCAGTGCAACGGCGTTCTTCACCCGCCTCAGTATGAAAAGTGTTGCTGGTTTCATTTTGTCAGCTGGGATTGAATGTGAAATTTTGGAAGTGTAAATGTAGGAATGCAAGTGTTTAGCTTCCACGTTTGTTATATTTTGTGTTCGTTTCTTTGTTATTGGCAGATGCTTTGTAAGTGTAAATGAAAAAATTAAATTTTGGGAAAGACCGATCAGTAATTATGTTGTTTTTAAGATCATTTTAGGAAAGAGGAACTTTGTGATAAGATTGATCCACTGATAAAGAGAAGTAGAATTTAGTGCAATTTCTGTTTGAACAGGAAAATCTTTGAGGGTGATAATTAACAGGTAACGATGACATTTAGCAAAATTTTATGATTATGAAGTACACTGCTCGTGAGTATTAAGACACTGAGTGTGAAACAAACCTAGATAGTCGTTGTAAAATTATTAAGATTGCAAAATATTATTTAGCTTGGTATTTAACTTGGTAATATAACAAGTATATAATTTTTGCTAAATCTAGAAAAAAAATATAATTTGAATCAGACGATACTTCGTGAACGAATATAACGTGTATCCTAAAATGGACGAACGTCAGTCTACGAGAATCTACAAACATTGGATCATCCTTTAAGTCATGTGAATGTTCCAAAAATTGTCAAAAGAATAATCGGACATTTAGTAGATAAATGAAAAATCATTGCAGAAAATAAAAGGAAATATAGGGTGTCCAAACTGAAGGAGGCCACTTAAATATCTCTTTTGTTTTTAGTGTCATGAAAAATGTTTGTAGCATGGTTTCAATGATTTCCAAAGGGGGAATTGCTTATTTTGTCATTTTTTGTTTTTTGTCTCATAATTTTATTATTTTTTTAGCGTTCAAAATCATCTGAAAGTCATGATTCAGGCATATGCAAGAGATGCAATAGAAAAAAATACACGTTTCCTACACAAAAAACAACGATGACGTTGAAAAAACTAAAAAAAAAATGAGCTAACAAGAAACTTTTTCTTCCATAATGTTCCCCTTTGAAAATCATTTAAATCGTGCTAGAAACATTTTTTATAACACTAAAAACAAAGGAGATATTTAACTGGCGTCTTTCAAATTGGACACCCTGTATATTCATTAGCGATGGTTACAAATAAATCGATCCATTTTATCCTACTCAAAAAGTGTGGAGTGCCGACATTATTTCCAGTGTGACCTAATACAAACACGAAAACTTTGGATCTCGTAAAATTATCGCGTCTTCCATGGAATGAGAATGGAAATTTGCAAGTCGTAAGAACCACTGTCGAGCTGATAGATATTAGCTTAATTATTGTCTTACGTCACGATCTAGCTCGGTCTCCGAGGTATGTCCGCTTGGAGGTGCAGTTTGCTGCTCAAGTTCGTGACCCGGATCTGTCATTGCATCTTTCAGGTCGTAACTGCCCGAACTACTACTGCTCGTGGACCTAGCTGGTGAAGCAGGTACCTCCAATCCACATGGAATTTCCGTTTCCTCCAATATCGGTGGTGGGCTGCATGGCTCTTCAACGACAGCCTGACGCGACATACCACAGAATTTCAACTTTGTACTGAATACCTGGGTACTTTGGACCTTTGAAAAATTACGAATTTTGCCATTTTGGAGGTATTTTGGACCTTTGAAAAATTACGAATTTTGCCATTTTTGGTCTTTTGCAATTTTGGGTATTTTGGACCTTTGTAAAATTAGGAATTTTGCCATTTTTGGTCTTTTACAATTTGGGGTATTTTGGACCTTTGAAAAATTACGAATTTTGCCATTTTTGGTCTTTTGCAATTTGGGGTATTTTGGATCTTTGAAAAATTACGAATTTTGCCATTTTGGGGGTATTTTGGACCTTTGAAAAATTACGAATTTTGCCATTTTTGGTCTTTTGCAATTTGGGGTACTTTGGACCTTTGAAAAATTACGAATTTTGCCATTTTGGAGGTATTTTGGACCTTTGAAAAATTACGAATTTTGCCATTTTTGGTCTTTTGCAATTTTGGGTATTTTGGACCTTTGTAAAATTAGGAATTTTGCCATTTTTGGTCTTTTACAATTTGGGGTATTTTGGACCTTTGAAAAATTACGAATTTTGCCATTTTTGGTCTTTTGCATTTTGGGATATTTTGGACCTTTGAAAAATGACGAATTTTGCAATTTTTTCCCTTTATTTTAAGGTATCTTGGACCTTTGACAAAATATCACTGAAAGGATTTCTTGAAATTCGAGAAGTTGACGTCGCTGTGAGCGACGGGGATTTAACTAGGATCCCGGAAAGATTTTAGTATAGGTATTAAGAATAATCCTTCTACAAACATTAAACGCGTTTTTCTCCTTCTCCTACTCTTTCAACACACGTGTGCAAGATTTCCCGGAAATTACTCGACGGATGTTTCTGAAATTTCGCTAACATCTTCAGTACACATGTAAATAGGTCTCATCATCCTCTATAATCGTGAAAATTATTATTTTTTAAGGAATCCAGAAGAAACGATTTTTGGGCAAAAACTCGAAACGCGACTTTGTTATTCTTTGATATTCATCAACCAGACTGTATGATGCTCAACCGCAACTATTATATAATCGGTTCTTCGCGGCATTTTTGTTTCCGAAATGCCAGAGCCGAGAAATTTTGCACGCTAAAAAACCCCTTTCTTCGTGTAAGGGCTACTTCCGACACACGTCACACAAAGACTGTACCGTATTCCACCACCAAAAAAAATTCAACGCACAGTGCAAGTTACGAATAATAACCGTTTCAAATTTAATTTCAATAGCTCTGGTAGTTTTCTTCTAAAAATATGACAACGCGATAAACACGAAAGTAGCATTTTTCCCGACTTCTTTAAATTTCAACCTACCAAAAAATTTGAAATAATTCATAAATTTTCACGATTCATGATTAAATTTTCGATAGTTCCAATACTTTTGAAGAAAACAGCTTGTAACATTCTCCTTACATTTCCACGCAAAAATGCGTCATCCGTAAGCAAAAGCAGTTTTCAATTTGACGCAATAGTGCGTTCGTGATAAAAATCATAACTTCTAAGCAAATCAATCTTCGACCTAAGTCCTCTAATACTTTTCCGACCATTTCAAGAGAATTCAAAGATGCATCAACTGGCATATAGAAAAAATATATGGTTTCATTTAAAAAATTGTAACGATCTTTATTTTTTCAAAATCTGCCGTAGCGAAAGGGTTAAAAAGAACTTTACCGTAGGTTGTACAAAAATTTTACTAAACTTAATACAAACTAACAAAACGACCTAATTCTGTCAACCTTCAAAAAATCTGCCACCCTTGGTACATCTCAAAGTGACAACCACCGATTTTCATGAAATTTTGGTATGCGATAGATACGAAAAAAATATCCAACACGTATTTCTTCGACAATCGTCCACATTGAAAGATTAAAAATCGTCCCTTTAACGTTATGTGGTAGATACGAAAAAAAAAAAAAAGAAACTAACGAACAGAAGCCGTGGCCACGGTTGAATAAAGAAAACAGCGAAAGCGTTGTTAATCCAGGCATGTGTGGAAGGAAGAAAGGACGAGACTCACCTCGCTGCGAGCCAGGCTGTAAATTGAGCTGGCGCTTTCAAAGGAGCTTCCCTCCGCGGCAGTGGCTGTCGCCGAAGCCGAGGCCGCTGCGCTTGAGGTTTGCGGAGGCCTCGACCAGGAACTGGTCGTTGCGGAAGTGCCGGTAGTGGTCCCAGTCTCAGTGGAGGTGTTGGCAGTGACGTAATCCTCGGTGGTTGAGGTCTCGGATAGGTCTGTGTTCGTCCGACCGCCTGAGTCCGTTCTGGCGAGGCTCAGGCCGAACTCGCTCGACGATTGCGATTGCGGTTGCGACAATGGCGGGCCAGGACTCGCTCGACGGAACGCGCCCTTCGGCCTGCCATTCAGCGGCGTCACGGACGGTTCGACGCTGAGAAGTAATTGCCTTTAAAAATCCTTTCACATTTTACACTGACCGCCCCACGACCTACGCGTCGACGTTCGATGGATGAATTGATCGAACGATGTGGTGCTTGCGGGAGATCATATGTGTGCCTGTGTGTGTGTTTTTTAAGAGGGTATGTCACTTTGAGGTTCGTAAAAATAGGTGGAAGTTTGGGAATTTCTTTTTGTGGCTAAGTACTGGATGGAAAATTTCAATTTTTTCTTTTAGAGGGTGTAAATGTAAGTTTCGGGCGTTTCTTGACAATATTTGGAAAGTGAAAATGTTGCAAAATAGAGGAGTTATTGTGAAACCTCTTTTTTTTTTTGGTAAAAGAGATCATTTCTTTAATAATTAAAATTTTTGAAAAATTGCAAACTACGTTGTAGATAATACATTTTTATTTACAAATCAAACAGAATTTTTTTTTTTTTGAAACACTCCAATCCTTGCCTGAAGAAATTTCGAAATAGTTCCTCCATTTTGGAACATTTTTACTCTACAAAAATTGGAGAAAAAGCTGAAAGTTACATTTATATCCTCTAAAAAAATTGAAACTTTCTAATTAGCGGTTACCTATAAAAAAAATTCGCAAACTTCACCTGTTAGACGCCTCAGGGTGGTGTACAGTGATCTGGGATTCTTTTGCGTAAGGTACATACCGGGTGTTCGCGTCATTAGGTGTATTTTTCGTAAATGGTGGATATACGGAAGAAATGAAGGAGGAAAATATTTTACGGTGTAAGTATACGGGGTTTTAAAATAATAGCATGTATCAACTTTTTATGTTTTATAAAACGAAGGTGATCTTCAATTTTTTATATGGAATGCTTTATGTAATTTTTATACTCTTTACGTACGATTTGCTCTAAATAATCAATAAAAGTTTCGGAAATTAAATATCAGACATATTTTATTCTACTGCAATAAACTATTTTATTATTTACTCGATGTCAGTATTTCTAGAAACAATTTTATAAAAAATTTGTAAAAAAGCTTTTACGATAATTATATAAATGTAATGCAAATTGTAGTAATTATTATCATTGCCTTCAGCCTTATAAAATATGTCAATTTTATCGTTGTCTAAAATTTGCATCGAAATCGTATACTGTCGTTATTAATGAAACACGTTCGTCCATATTGTAGAAAAAGTTACTAATAAATTTATAATATTATCCGTGTTTATCATTAACTGTTGCGAATAAATTAAGATTTGCTCGATTTATTCGACTGGAAGTTCTTGCTAATTACTTCATTAATTCACCGGGAGTTTCATTTCATTCATTAACTACCAATGCTATTAAAACTTTTTTCTCATTTTGTAGGCGATGTTTAAACATTTTACAAGGGTCAAGCGAGCAGCAAGTAACACCCTTCCTTCTGTCAAATAACGAGCGATCTAGTGATTTCTCGCAAATACCTAATTAAAAATAATATTTAATCAAAATACAAAAAGCCACTTCCCTAACAAGATTCGCTTAAAAAAATGTATCATTGCATTTAAACATTCCACTTTTAACAAATTAACACTGTTAGTAGATGCTTTAACAAATTTTGAATTAAATACCCTGACGTAACATGGAAATTATTTTAAATAAGAATGTTTCAAGTATTCAAGCTTCAAAATTTCAAGCATTGTTTTGGGAATTATGTTTTTTTTTTTTCAAAATGAGCGGCTTAAAACGGCGTGAACTTTCGGGATGACTTGATAAATGATACAATTAGAGAAGTAAGATTGGTCAAGTGTGTGGAGGAGTGGATAAAATGAAAGGTTTGATTAAAGTGTAAGAATACAATAATGGTAAATTTTTGCAGAATTTCTGTATACAACGAAAAAAATTAACACTAGATTTTGGTATACTATGTGTAAAGCGTGGATTTTCTTACGCTATAAGGGAAATACTCTGTTGTTTTAATAGTTGCTTGCGATTAATTATGGCATTTCCAACTACATATAAGACTTAATTTTCAAATTTTTGATTCTGCCAGTTTTGAAATATATTTTGCGAGTCATTTTAATTGGAGAGTATACAAATGACTTAATAAGAAGACTAATATCGACTAATGAACGTCAAGGCTAATGTGAAATATCGTTACTTTTCTGTTATTTAATATAGTATACCAGGTTAGGTATGACCTAATACTATTCAATGAATATAGAAGGTGACAGGAAAGTAGGTGGTGAAACTTTGGTACCGTATTCTACTGATCCTGAGGATGAAAAAACGTCATACAAACATAGGTCCGAAAACTCTTCCTTTCCGAGATATAGACACTTTTTCCTTACATCGAAAATTCACTATGTAGAATAGTTGTTAAACGTAAAATTTCAAGCACCGTCATTATTTCTTTTGCTAGATATATTGGCACTGAAGACAGCGTGTTTATGATAATAACACTATTGATAGCCTGGAAGTACTCAAAAAATTTGATTGCCGCGTGTGAAGAAATTTTGAAGACAGCAGAAACTTTTTCACGTCTTCGACGGTCTCTGAAACGCCTTTCCAAATCATTTTCAACAATTTCTGCAAGTATGTTCTATACATTCCTCCATCCTAATCGAAAAGTGTCTATATCTCGGAAAAAAAGAGTATTCAAACCTACGATTATACGACTTTTTTCATCCCTAAGAATAGTAAAGTACAATACCAAAGTTTGGTCATCTGTTTCCTTGTCACATGAAAAAACGAAATTCTGGATAAATTACCTCGGTGTTAATGGTTGCACCGGTGTTGCTGGCTCGAGACGTATTCTCGGACTGGATGGACGCGATTCCATCGTCTCCTCGATTTCCAGAGCCTCGGTGTCCATTGAGGAACGCTGTTGATGCTGGAGAAGCAGAAGGTGCCTTCTTCTCGAGGACGGTGTCAAAAGGGACAACGAGTCTGCCTGGAGGACCGTCGCTTGAGACTCGTTCCAAATTCCGTCGCTATGGTCCCTGGTGACGTCATTCGTTAACGAATCGCTCGATGCGAACGGAGAAGTGATCAAACCGGAAATCCCGAGTCCACGATTGAAGAGGAGAGGATAAACATGCCCTGGTTGCCGCAGTGGACGTGTCGGCGACGAATAGCCTTTAGGACTTTGTAATGTTCTTCGTGGCGCTGAAATATCGCGAAGCAGTAGTGTAACTGTTGGATGGTAATTTTCGTTCGGTGGTTTTGACGATGAAATAGCTGAGGAATTGATTCGAGTAGGGATATAAATTTTTTTGGATGAGCTTTTCGATGAGTCATCCAATTTGGATGAGTTTTTGGACGTGTAATACAATTTGGATGAGTTTTTCTATGAGTAATCCAATTTGGATGAGTTTTTGGACGTGTCATCCAATTTGGATGAGTTTTGGGACGTGTCATCCAATTTGGATGAGTTTTTGGGACGTGTCATCCAATTTGGATGAGTTTTTCTATGAGTAATCCAATTTGGGTGAGTTTTGGATGAGTCGTCAAATTTGGATGAGTTTTTGTACGTGTCATCCAATTTGGATGAGTTTTTGGACGTGTCATCCAATTTGGATGAGTTTTTGGACGTGTTATCTAATTTGGATAAGTTTTTCTATGAGTAATCCAATTTGGGTGAGTTTTTTGGACGAGTCATCCAATTTGGGTGAGTTTTTTGGACGAGTCGTCCAATTTGGATGATTTTTTGTACGAGTCATCCAATTTGGATGAGTTTTTCTATGAGTAATCTAATTTGGATGAGTTTTGGACGAGTCATCCAATTTGGGTGAGTTTTTTGGACGTGTCATCTGATATGGACGAGTTTTCGAATTTTTAGTTTAATTTTATGAAATACAATTTTATTAATAATGTTTATTAATACTGGACAATTTTATGTCAATAAATTGAATTATTTTTTATTCGAAATTAATTTGTTCACGATTCACGATTTAATCGAGTGATGAAAATCAACTGGTGAAGTTTTTTCATATATTTTTTATTTTTCCTAATCTAAACGTCTAAACTGAATCATTGACATAACAGGGTGTCGTATGAATCAACCCTTCGAGGTCGTATTTAGCTCAGAGATGGCTGCTGGAATTAATTTTCATTGACCAAACACTAATAATACAATGCAAAATTACGAACACAAACTTCAATATCTCTTTTTTCAATTTTACATACGTTTAACACAATAATATACGCTTTCATTTTTCCTAAAAATTACATTTTATATTCCTCCATAGTGTTTTACTGGCGGAGAGCAGACACACGATCGCAAAGGGTTAAAAAATATGAAATTATGCATCTATCGAAAAAACTCCAGAGAATCCCTTTTGTTTCATAAATTACAAAATACAACGTACGTTCTGCACATGATTTTGTACCTAAATATTGCAGAAGGCAATTGGATCGATCGAAGGTACTATTGGATCAGGATTTGAATCCCAATCCTTTATTTGCTGCACGATTTGTTCTGTTACTCCGAGCAGTGACCCATAGCTTCACCTTAAACCCGATATTTGGAATAGCTACCCTTTGCACTGTACACATGGAGGTTTTTGAGTACACACAGAGTTCCAAGTTTGAAACTGGATGAAAGCAAACCAAGGCACAAAGGCGCCAGAGCTATATCTCGCTTTTGAGACATTTTAACGTACAAACAAACGGTATGCTACTGTTCTGACCAATTGTATCGTCACAAGGATAATTTCGGAAACAACAGATTGCATGTAAAAGATTGTAGTTAATTTTTTTCCCGTCAATAACACCTTTATAATTTCCAATTTCGTCGTAAAATTGTGATTATTATAAAATAAAAATTGATCTTTCAATTTAATTCCACAGAAAGTGTCTCCTTGACGCGTTACTCTTTTACTATTAACACCCCAGTTTCATACATATTAGGACACTTACTGAATGTGAACTGAAGAACAGCCATTAAAAAATTATTGAGATTAAAAAAAGAAATTAGTCAGTTTGCAATCTCGTAGTGTAAGGAGCACACATATTTTTACCGAGTTCTACGAATAAGCCAGTAACTGAATTTTGTTTTCCTTTTTCGTTCCACTTCTTTCTCTAATTTTCGTAAACTGACATTTTCTGGATAAACGTATCAGAAGTTAATTTTCCCCGCAACCGTGCCATGCTAATAGTGGCAAAAAATTTTAGCACCATTTGGAAACATTAAAAGTGATTTATATAATAAAAGAAATATTAAAATCAACTCTAATACTTCGTAATGAACTCGGTTGTTCTGCTAATGTGTTTAATGTTTGGTAACTTGCACAGTGAATGTAAAAAGTATTCGCACACCCTATAAAACGGAATATCTTTCTTAAAATTGGGCCAAAGGACTTGAGTTTTTTTGAGAAGTTAAATTTTTTGAAAAAATTGCAATTTGTGGAAATCGCGAGGAAAATTGTAAAGGTCACTGTTTACAACTTTTCTATCCGAGCTTGTAACGAAAATTAAAAAAACACGTTTTGTAGATCTATGTCAATTATCCACATGCTGAAAATTTCATCGAGATCGATATCGTCGACAAACAGCGACGAAGAAGAAGCTAGTTCGAAAAGAGGAGCAGATTCGATCTCGCCTAAATTTCCTTCGAACGTTCATCTTTCATACCTGATGCTGCGGTCGGCGACGTGGGGGACGTGGGAAGCGATCTCGGTAGCATGAAATCGTCCGAGGCTAAGCCTTGCACGCCGTCCTCCAGTGACACGCTCCTCTTCCGGAAAAATCCCCGCCGGATGAGATTCTCGTGAAATTCCTGAAACGATACGCATCGTGTGTGCATCCGTATCTTTAGAAACGACGTATCCGCGGGAAAAGGTTCACGCCCTTTTGCACTATTTTCACCCTCCCTCATCCGCCCTCCGTCGGCCCAGCAGAGACTTTCGCGAAGAAGAAAAGAGGGACTTGACGAGAGGACGGTTATCGATTTCTGGTCCTTCCGAGTTTCGAACCTCGAAAGTCGCCGCCGAGGGAGGGAAAAGCCAACGATCAGACCTTCTGATCGCGCGGGGCTAGCTTTTCGAGGGTCGAAACGTTACGTTCGTCGTAACTTTTCCGATTTGAATGATCGAACTCTTGCTCCGGGTGTCGAGCTTTTTTATTCGACTCGATCAGACACACGTGGGTTTTCGTATTGTTAGCGTTATTGCGTCTTTGATGTTCGAAGGGTGAGACTGTGGTTATGATGGATGCGTATTTGGACCGCCATTTTGTAACATTTTTGACTTAACCCTTATCTCAATAACCAGAATTGTCGTCCGTTTTATCGTCCAATTTTAGTAGTTTTCTGATAGGAAAATTCTAAACTTGAGGCAAATGATGAGGAAATGTGGAAGGGTTTTACCTGGAAGATCAAATATTTTAAGTGAGAATTATGTTGACATAAGGGTTAAAGAAATTTGAATATAAAGGCGAAAGTTACATATTCGTTGCCCAGCAAAAAAATTGAAACCTTTCACATGGTAATTCTAGTCGGGGCCACGATATAGCGAGGTCGTAAATTGAACTCTGAAAAGTCGGTACCGATTGATGTTGCTGCTCTTATTCTTATTTTCCATTCTTTATGTCCTTCCTACGAACGAATGAATATAAAGGCGAAAGTTACATATTCGTTGCCCAGCAAAAAAATTGAAACCTTTCACATGGTGATTCTAGCCGGGGCCACGATATAGCGAGGTCGTAAATTGAACTCTGAAAAGTCGGCACCGATTGATGTTGCAGCTCTTATTCTTATTTTCCATTCTTTATGTCCTTCCTACGAACGAAATACAGTAAATTCTCCACAAGTGTCCGACCGCAAGGAATCTAAACCTGACACTTGTAGAGTCAGGGAAATTTTTCTTAACATACTGATGAGATTTTTCTGATGAAAATGACATCAAACACGACATAATTTGAACAACATTTACTTATTAACACGTTTACTGTCACGCCAGACAGCGAGCGAGATAACATAGGCGCAGCAATGACGCAGACCCAGGCGTAGGACCATCTATACTGACACTTGTAGAATCCAAACTGACTGACACTTGTAGAGAATTTACTGTATCTGAAGATTGCAACGTATGGACTCGTGAGAATCTGTATTGAGTTCGTTGGAATACGCATCCACTATAATTGCAGCCTAATACAAGATGGAGAGGAACTTGTGGCACAATTAGGTGAGAGGTTATTATACAGGGTGAACCACGAAATGTGATCACTTTGCATTATTTCGATATTAGCCGAGTGATCGAATTTTTTTTCAAAGGGATCCTTAAGATAACTGTACTATACTTTTATTTTTTAACTTTTGAGGTTATCTTCAGTTTTTTGCAGATAAATGTAGATCTATTGTAGAAAGATTTTGAGCTTGAAAACTTAACCCTTTGAGGTCTATAGGTATTCTTAGGTTAATAAGAATTTTTGCCCTTAAATATCGTAGAATGATAAATTATAAATTACAAATGATAATAAATCATTTTTAAGTCTACAAGTATCTGTGAGAAGTTTTGCCTTCGGCTTTCATGCAATGATAAATTATAAATTATAAATGATAGTAAATCATTTTTAAGTCTATAAGTACACCACCGGTTCAAATGTTTGGAATCACTGTGCATTGCAATTTAGACAAAAATTTCCAGAACAAATTCAGCGACTTTGAGAATTTTTTATCGTTCGAATCAATTGATATGAGATAAATTGATATAAAAAATCTATAAAAGATCTATAAAAAAATTAGCAGCATTGATGAAAAGTGCGAGGTGATTCCAAACTTTTGCCCGGTGGTGTATGTACTAGCTGAATTTTTTCAATTTTTCAAAAATTCATCCTAGGTGGAAACGATTTGCTGAGTATGTTTTACTTATTCTTTCATAAGAAATCACGCACACCTGGGCATGTTATACCACAAATTCATCTCAATCCTGTATAATACAGTCGTAGGAGTGCGAGAGACTTTGAATATTTGGTGTGTTCCATGCAAACTTTATGCACGGTTCATGGTTAGGTTAGTGTAAATACTTCAGTGTCCTTGCTATCTTCAATGGTGTTGTAAAGAAAAGATGCTGATTTTTTACGAAAGTGATCTAACCATCCGCCAATTATTACTAAAAATTTGACATCTATAGTGTATATACACTGGATAAAATGACTCATGAACGCGGAAAAAGGAGCGCGTAACATCCGTACATAAAAATAGGAAGAGGAAGAGAATAATGAAATGTTAGATTTTAAATTAAAATTTACAATTTATCGCTTTTAGTTTTCTTTTATTAAATTAAGGTGGAAGTGCACAAAAGACAAAAATTAAGGTGAAATGCTAAAAGGCGCCCAAAGCACAGCGCGGGAAAATATTCAAAACACCTGTTGGCGCTAATAGGAGAAAAAGGGTTAATTTCAACAAGACACGAAAGAAGAAACTGTAAAGAAATGACTTAAAAAAATTATCACATAATTTCATCATTATACTTTCATTATATTTATTTCGTTATATGTAATATTTCTCTTTTTGAAGTAAAGAATTCTTACCAACCCATTTGTTTACTCTATCAAAAGTAACACAAATATTGGAGAAATAAAATTTTTTAAAATCCTGTGCATCGTTCATAACTATTTAAGTTGTTATTAATGATTATTTTTAACTTTATTAATATTTTACAAATTAATTTACAGGAGCTTGTAAAAGCAACTCTTTTATATTACGAGTTTCACATTGGTTTCCTATTTCTTCTAAACTGAAAGTGAAAAGAAAGTGAAACGTACTTGAGCATGCGTACTGGAAAAAATAGAGGTACACAAAAAAGGAGAAACAAATAGAATAGAAAGTGTGCAAACAATATGACAAAATACGTTAGGTAGTATGTAAACATAACGAGTGCTATAGAATTTTCGTGTTTATCATGTATAATATAAACCACACACAGCGTTACTAACTGCTTTTTATAGATTTGCTGAAGACGGGGAGAAAATTCTGCTTTGATGTCGTTTTTTTTTTTTT